ACAGTGCTGGGTTTTGACTTTGTCAGTCAGTGTTTTCATTTGCACTGCATCTTTTGGAATTTATTTGGTAATTGAGATCCAAAACACACTGCAGAAATAATCCAGTTGGAAACTGCTTTAACTGCCCTGGCTCAGTGCTAGGGAATGCTGGGAACTGTAGTCTTGTGAGTCATTTAGCCTTCTCTGTCAGAGAGCTCTGGTGCTGCAATAAAATATAATTCCCAGGATTCCCTAGCAATAGTTAAAGTGGTCTAAAACTGGATTATTTCTTGAGTGTGTTTTGGACCTGAGAATGCCTTTGCCCTAGGATTAGTATAATATGGGGAACTGAATGGAGTATACTGGGAAAGGACATGGCTGGTTGGTAACCCAAACAGGATTATCCCACGCTGCAACTTTTCCTTGCATGTCACACTTACAGTGCTTTGCTGAAGTATTAATTCCCTTTGTTTTTTCCCCACACTTTATTCTGTTACAAGCTGCAAATGAAATAGATTTAATTGTTATCACTTGATGGACACGAGATACTCAATATCGTGAAGGTACAAGTTATTTTTAATTGTTGTGCAAAAGTTAAGTGGGGGCCTTTTGCAGATTGCCAGAAATAGTGCAAACTGAGTCCACTTTAAGGGTTAGGGTTAGTGCTAGAGAATCATGGGAATTGCTTTTTTTTTTCCCTGAGACATTGAGCCTTCTCTGTCAGACAGCTCTGGTGCCACAATAAAATACAGTTCCCATGATTCCCTAACCCTAACCCTTAAAGTGGACTCAATTTGCACTATTTCTAGCAGTCTGCAAAGGCCCTAAATTGCATGCCACATATGTATTCAGATTCCTGAATCAATACTTGTTAGGATCACCTTTGGCAGCAACTACAGGTGTAAATCTTCTTGGGTAAATCTCCATCACCTTTGCACATCTAGATTCTGTAATTTTTGACCATTCTTCTGGGCAAAATTGCTGCAGCTCTCTCAGGCCAGATGAGGATGGTTGGTGACAGTGGCGTCACTAGGGGCTTATGGGGGGTTCAGACCGCACTGGGTGACACACCCAGCTGCTGCCACCCCTGCTTCAGCCACTAGTGGGGTGCTCCTTCTACCTGGCAGCTTCTGGACGTTATCACACGTGGGCAAATCTGCTGGTTAATCCACACAAAAC